CCTCATAACATTGCATCTTGACATGGAACTTATTGGTAGGAGATTTGAGCTCTTTCCGAATTGTTTCTAGTTTTGTGTACAAGTACTTTACAATTTACATGGTACGTGCAGGTTCTGGGAAACCTTGGGGAAGTTGTTCGAAACTTATAAATCTCAAAAGTATTATTATTGACTAAATAACAAAAAAAAAAAAAAAAGGGTTTGCCAAACTAGCTGGGGAAAAGGCGTGGAATCCTTTTTCAATCTTTTTTGAAGTCTCTCATGGCATGAGAGATGCTGCACGGATATATAGTTGATTTAAAAGCTGATTGACCATGACAAATCCCTCATATATAAGCTTGAAAGCCATATCAACCTCAGTACTTGCCCTTTATAGCCCGTGTCATCAATCCATTATTCATCATCCGCTTTACTTTAAGTCCTCATTTGTGTCCCACAACAAAATGACTCGCCACCCACTTTATACGCCCTTATGATTAATAGTGAGAAGGTTCTCTGTAGTGCTTTGGTGATCATCAGTGAGGCTAAAGACAGACGAGACTGATGGGGCAGTGCATGGATTAGAATCCTATGTGCCACTATATTTTGCTACTATATGCTAGAAGCATCAAGAGAGAGAGAGAGAGAGATATAGAGAGTAAGGAGATTATAAGAATTTAAACTCGTTGTAAGATAAAAAGGAAAGTGCCAACTCGTATACTTTTCCATGGCTTGGATTTTGGAGTTCATGGCTTGTCCGTTCATGACTGATGAGGTCTCCTAGGATTGTTTATAGAACTCCAGCAGCATAGGCTTGTGACTCTGAAAGTCATAAAAATACTCAAAACTCTCACAACTTTTTATTTTGTATCGATTGGAATTTTAAATATTTGCAAAATTTTCTACAATTCAGGAAAATTATAACTTATAGCGTCTATAACCTTTCTTATTTTCCTTGTTTATATAATAGCTCAAAAAATCTTCCCCCAGTGAACAGGGATGCATGGAACCCAGATAGTGATATGATCTACTCCACATTTTTTTTCGAGCAACGATAATATTTGTATAATTTAATCTATCTTGTTCTACATAAAGGAGGAGAAGATTTTGTATAATCTAACTCATCATATTCTACTACAAAAAGGCAAGTTAAAAGAAGCCGTGAAAGAATCTAGCAAATATACAAACTGACTAGACCAATGGGGTGCATATTGACATGGTTTGCATAATGAACGTTCCTTTACTTAGGCTTCGTTTGGGAGCGGAGGATTTGGACAGAAAAGAAAGGGAAAGAAGAGAAAGTTAACTTTTCCTTCATTTGTTAGTTTTTAATAGGAAAGAAAAGAAGGGAAATGGAAGGATTTAAGAGAATGAATAGTAGGCAAAATTTTTCCTCCCAAATTGGAGAGAAAGTTGGAGGAAGCTTATGAAAGTTTTTTAAAATATTTATTTTATCCTTAAAAATGTCTTGAACAAATATTTAATAACTTTCATATCCAAAATCATTCCACTAATTCTCAAAACTCCCAAACAACATAATAATCCCTTCTCTTCTCTCGTAACTTAAGTTTTCCCTTCTTCTCTTTTCTATCTTAAACTCCCAAACTTAGCCTTAGTTTAGGGAATGTTTCTCTACAAATGTACCGTACAACCCTTTTCCATGATGAGATGGGATATTGCATTTGCATTAGCAAGTTAAAATTTTTTTAACTTGGTGACAGGGGGAAGTTCACCTAATCAACACTCTGCCTTTTTAAAGCGAGAGTACTAATATAATAAAGCATTCTTTCTAGGGATCGGAGCCTTTGAAGAAGCAATGGAATTTCAACACGTCTAAGACAGAGTGCAAATTTGACTTGTCAAGTTAAGTTAGTCCACACTCCAGAGATAAGATACTACTAATAAATTCTTCATTTTGACACAATTATTGGAGACAAGCACATGAGGGGAGTGAGTCTTCAATCCTCTTGGGCGTGCCCTTCTGCAGCAATGTTTAGGACTTTTTTTTTCCTTTTTTTTTTTTTTTTTGTGTACTAAATTTTATCGTCATCCCACAAAGCGTCGCAAAAGCGGTGAGAGAATGAAATTTGATCGACTATTATATGATAGACAATGATATGCCATCGGATCACAATCTTGAGGCTGAAATTGCGTGGAAATTGGAAATATGAGAAATAGTTATTAGTGATTGTTTGTTCGCATTACACTAAACTAAACTTGGATCCCTCCTTCTCCTTGTGAACGTTTGTCGTTTAACAAAGCCAAGACAGACAAAAAGGGTAGGGTATCAAATCAAATCAACCGGACCTATACGGTGCTCACCATTGATCATGAATGAGCTCTGTGCTCTACACTGTAAAAATTCATGCTTTAGATTTTACTAAATTGGACGTGCTATAGTGCAAGCAAAAGTCATTTCGGGTGATAGGTAGGGAAATATTCAGGGTTATAATGGGCCAAAAGAAAATTTTCGTAGTAGGTAAATGTACCATTCATCCACTTTTCTGCTATCTCAATCTCAATCATCTTCTGCTGCCTAAATGGCCGAACTTTAGTTATGAGGCCCATAACATCTTTATACGGTTCCAATTCCGTGTTCCTGGGAGTTAGTTACATATAATATACTGGAAAAATCTGGCTGTAATTGGAGTGGTAAAATAGGATTGTTAATTTCTTTTCTTGCATGATTAACCTCATTGTTTTCTCAATTTTAGGGGAGAGGAGAAAGACGAAGAAAAAGAAGCGTGGTCCAACAGAGAGGACAACATATATACGTAGCATTGGCCACTAAATACTGTGGTCTGTAGAATCTATAGGGTCCAGAATTTGAACACGCCCTATGAATCCATGATCCATATCCCGCAAACGGGCAAGCATCTGCTGTGGATCTAAAGTTTAATGGGCTTCGATCTGCTGATACATTAACGGAAACCTCGAGTGAGATTAATCTGGGACCCACCTTATGATGTGCGTATTCGGTATTCCATTAGTAAAATGTCTCTTTCTAGATTGCACCATTGATGTGTCTTCGCGGTAGTGTTTCAATTTCTGTTGCGCTTTAGCATGGTGAATTATGGATCGGAGTCTTGAAAGTTACGAGTTTGAAAAAATTTTCGGTTCAAACCAGTCGGTGTAAAACCTATTGTCGGCATAAACTGTTAACAGTTTCGATGTATCATTAAATTAGTTGTATGAGTCGACGACAAATGTAACTTTACATCAAAATCTCATGAACGGTCTTTAACACCAATAAACATAAACTGAAAAACTTCAACTTGTGATGCCTCTAATCCATGAATTATAATTAATACAATAGCTTGTTGATGAACCCGTGTCGATTTACCCATCAGTTGAAAAAAAATTATATTGACTTACATATGTCTCCTAACTTAAGGGCAAAAATTACGAATCATGCATCATTTTTTCTTCGATGATGAAAGAGACTTGTCCATGTCAAGAGAGTTTTCAACTAAGACCCCGTATGATAGTAGTGTGGTTTTTAATTTAAAAAAGGTGGCCGTGAATGGTTTCGAATCTTCTGTCCCCAAATTAGTCTCTATCCCTCCTGTCCCTTCTTTTTTACCTCAAATCATCTTTTTCTTAAACCCTAACAAGTACTTTAATTTGAGTTATCTGTTTTAATTGGTTTTGAGTAAACTTGTCAATCGATTATTATCGATTTGTTTGATTTTGGACTATCAAAAAGTTAGAAACACATGACAATTGTGTAAAGAAGAGACAGGAAATAAAGACTAATTTGAAAACAGAAGATTTGAAGCGGCCGTGAACAGCAGAAAATGAAACCCGTCTAATGACTAAAGGAGTTTTGCTTATTTCAGTTTGATGGTTACGGACCCGAGTCACATCTTCAATCTCTGTGTCTCTGATATTTTTATTGTCGTTCAAGCTTTAAGAGTGGAGGATAAAGGTCGTGTAATAATTGAACCCGACCATTACAAGCCCTCTTTTTTTCTTCGATATTTCCTTCTCAGTTTTCACTAGCTTTTTAGAAATCATCGTCTTAATTTTGCAACCTTCACTTACAACTCAAAAGGGGCCAAAAAAAACCTTGGTATTGGTTCTTCGAATGATTGGAATTGCTTTCTATAAAAATATAGCCTAATTTGCAATTTCGTACTGTAAATATAGGAAAATTCTAAATCTTACAAGGAGAAAAAAAAATAAAAAAAGGTTTAAAAGTAGAACTAGAAATTCCATGATTGATTACTTGCCTTCGAGAGTCAGATTGTCCTGGTCTTCTCCTATCTGGGACAAAAATAGTGGGACAAAAATAGTTAGAAACTGTGTTAAAATTTGCTTAATCTTCCGTTGTTTATCCTTTTCCTCTCTCATATTTTCTTTTTCTTTTTTTCCACAAAGGATGTTTCATAGTGAACAACACCACCTTAGAAAAAAAAAAAAAAAAAAAAAAACTACACCACGCCCATCGTGTGACGGCTACGTCACCACATGTATTTATTCATCGAGTCCACTCGTTCTAAGATAATGACCAATTTCATCCCTAAATATTTTTATGAGTGCAGATTTAGTCGCTAAATTTTACTTTTAACCAATTTAATGCGTGAATTTATTTTGTTATTCTAATTTAGGACTTTCATGGCAACGCCATCACTTAAAATCAATCTAACTCCTAATTGATCAACTAAATAGGAGTATTTTGGGAACATCTGTGCAGAACTGTAATAAATCAAGTAAATCGTGTAAAAGATTACACGATTAAATATAAAAAAAAATTTATTTGATAATTTTTTGTACAATTTAAAGGTTTTATTTGACGATTTTTTATGAAATTTTCAATTTTTGTTACAGTTTCATAAGTGATTGATTTTAGACAGTGGTGCATCGCAGAATTCTTTGACTGGAACCGCAAAATAAGTATAAGTTATTAAGTATCAAATTAATCAAAAATAAAACTTACGGATTAAATCGACGTTGTCAAGAAAAAAGTTTAGTTATAAAATTAACCATTTTCCCCACTCCCTCCTTTCATTTTTCAAGTCCACCTGACAGACCACCTCGGACTTTACGTAGCCGGCAGCTACATCCCCTTCCGCCGTCCACCACCACCAATGAAGCAGCAGGAAGCATGGCCTTCCAAATCGGACACTCCCCACTTTACCGGCCTGCCCTTTACCAGAAAAGAATCCGATCACCGCCGCCGCCACCACCACCACCACTCTTCCTCCAAATCCAATACCTCAGGGTCCACGAGGAAATCTACCTCTTCCTCGTCGAAAACCCATGTCTCCAACAACCTTAAACATCAGCAATACGATTACTCTTTGCTCCCTTTTGAATTAGTGCAGAAAATCGCCGCGTCTTTCTCGCTGCCCAATTTACGGGCTGCGTCGCTGGTTTGCCACGCTTGGAGGGACGCCCTCCAGCCCTTGAGGCAAGCTATGATGTTTCTGAGGTGGGGTAAGCGGTATAAGCATGGGCGAGGTGGGTTGAGGTCGAACGTCGATAAGGCCTTAGAATATTTTCTAGAAGGAGCGGCGCGTGGGTCCACGCCCTCCATGGTGGATGCCGGCTTGATTTATTGGGAGATGGGGAAGAAAGAAAAGGGGATTGCTTTATATACGAAGGCTGCTGAGCTTGGTGACCCGAATGGCCAGTGCAATTTGGGTATTTCCTACTTGCAAGGTAGTGCTACAGTGCTATGGTTGAATTTCAATATTTTTTGCTCATGCAAATAAAATGCAAGATTGAGGTTCTAATTCATCTTTTTAAGCTGTTGTCGTGGGTTGGTCGTTGAATTTGTGTGGTAAGGAGGTGTTATGAGTTAACTTGTTGCTTGTTAGTGTGCTTTATATCCAAAGGTATGATTAATTGATATAAATCTTCAATCTTGATGATGTAATTCAACTACTGGTGTCCTTGATTGTTTAAGGAAGTTGTCTTTTCACAGCTTATCTCTGACTACTTCTGCTCTCGGATTCTTTTTCTGCCTCAGTGAAGTCTTTGAAAGTAATGCAGTAGATGGTTCCTTATTATAGTTACTGTCGAAGTTAGGCTGAGAATATCATGGGTTGGATTGAGAAATACACTAGTTTATTGATGTAAAATGTTTGCTGGTGATTTACTAGTTGCAAAACATTAAAGCAATTACAGATATTGCCTTGCTAGCTTTGATGTCCTACCCTATTCTGGTATGTATCTGTGTCATAATACTTAGAAAAACTGCTGCCTTCCCTGCTCCCTTTTCCCTGGGCCTTTCTTGAGCAAGCAAAGATGATAGGCAAGAAAAAGGTTGCATCGAAAGTAGAACAACGATAAGAGACATCTGATTATTCGTAGTTCCAGGGATTTCATCAGGAGATATTATATCCTAGTATCACTATATCAGAATCGCATCCAGCAAAAGGCTGAGTGGTTGCTTGCTTGGTGTCTCTCTACTGTTATATTTGCCTATCCATCTTTGGATGCATGCTGCTCGCATAACTAATAGTTCTTGTGGTTCTTTGATAGATTCAACACTGGCATGTGATAATAACCATTATGACCATAATCGTTCATGCAGCTGATCCACCATCCTACAAGGAGGCGGTGGAATGGCTGTACAAAGCCTCGTTTGCTGGCCATGTTCGTGCTCAATACCAACTTGCACTTTGTCTACATCAAGGTCGAGGGTTGGATCAGAATCTACAGGAAGCGGTATGATTATTGTTTTAACTGAGCTTTCTACATTGTATTTCAATTTTTGATCTGTTTTCATGGTCATACTGTTTTCTGATTGGGCATTGTATTTCAAATTTCTGTTGTTCTCCTTTCCAAGACGATGTTAACTAGGTATATTGGGCAACTCCTCCTTAGTTTAACTTCCGAGCATCTACTTGCTTTGTTATGGGAAGAAGAAGCTGATTCATTTATAAATGCTTTAATTTTTCTTTTGTCCTACTTGTAGATAAACAATTTTATATTTCTTTTAGGTTCATGAAAGTAGCTCTCTTTTGGTCGTGTAGCTGGAGATGATTTATGTGATTAAAAATTCTGGAATGAATTTATGCTAGTTTAATGATGAGGTTGCTGTGAGAAATTCCTTTCTTCTGATGAATTCCTCGTTTGACAGGCACGGTGGTATCAGCAAGCTGCTCAAGGTGGCTATGTGCGTGCTATGTATAACACATCCTTGTGCTATTCGTTTGGTGAAGGTTTGGCGCAATGTCGTAGATTAGCAAGAAAGTGGATGAAGCGGGCAGCTGATCGAGGTCATAGCAAAGCTCAACTTGAGTATGGGCTGCTGCTATTCTCAGTAGGTGCCATACATGCTTCTTAAAATACTTTGTTATAGGATTATCTTCAGAGATAAAAGAGTAATAGATCAGAGAATATTTTCCTAATATTATCATGACAATATTAGTGCAAATGTCAAAAAAATATATATATGATGATGTAATTGGATGTTACTACTTGGGCAGGAAGGGGACATGATGAAGGCTGTGGTGTACCTGGAGCTTGCGAAGCGAGCTGGTGAGACAGCTGCAACTTCCGTGAAAAACGTTATACTTCAGGAGATGTCTACCCCTTCCCGTGACCGAGTCATGCATCTCGCTGATAATTGGCGTGCCTTGCCTTCATCTCGCTGAACTGTTTAGTGCCGCCTTTGTTAATAAACTGCTGTAATATAGCTTAGTAGATAAATTTTGTGGTGTCTTGTGTCTTGTCTGCAAAACTTAAATGAGATGTAAAGAAGAGAATTTGGGAGACTGTTACCTGATCCCGGGATAATAATGTATTATGGAGTCCTCGTAGATCTGCAGCTACTCTTTCAATCTGAACGGAAATAGGTATCATCAAACAAGTTTCTCTGGCCTGTGTAAATGTACTAACGGGTATTAAACAATGGGTTAGAAGTTTCTTTAGATTCTTTTTGCGTTTTAATCCTTAAATGTTGATTATTTTAGAAATGAAGAATCGTCATCTAGCAGGATGTATTCTTTCTTTATTTCCCCTTTTTAAATGTGCCAATGGCAAAGAACACTCGCAGGCTAAGAAGATAAATGATATTTGAAACAATATGGGCTTGCTAGAGTAAAGTGGTGACACGCCAATAACCTTTAGCGGACCCTTCTTCACCACATCCAATATTTCTGCTGTCTTAAAATTATCAAGCGGCATAAAAGATTTGTTTATCTTGGCCTCAGAATTTAACTATTCCCGCATCCAAACCAAATGGCATTGATGTTTAGAGATAAAAGCTAGCATCATGTGATTTCCTGTCAGCAAGTAAAATCAACATAACCTTAGTGTGGCTTAATGCACGTTAAGGTGGTTTCTCTAAAATCCATATAAGTGCTTAATGAACCCGTATGGTCTGATGGTCGTTTAGTCTTTGTTGGTTTTCCGTGACCCTGTTGGATCACCCTGTTAGTATAAGTTAGAATAGAACTAGGTGTAAGTTTTGTTAGTATAAGTTAGAATAGAACTAGGTGTAAGTTTAGATGATGATAATAGATTCAAAAAAAAAAGAGTAAAATCAACAGAACTGAGTTCCTTGCACCGAGAAGACAAGACAATCTTTCTACTATATTCTGGTCAATAGCACAAAAAACTGAAAACATTTTTTTTTAATTTAAACGCACCTTTCTTTTCAATACAAAACTTCCATGTTCCCGTTTTATGACAGCTCTTTACTTTCGAAAGCCCTTGCTTCTCTGTGTCGGATATCCAATTTTATCGGATATCCCCGAAGGAAGGGACAATGACCTTCATTCATTAGCATATGCATTTTGAAACCTCGTCAGTATGATTCCTATGCTTTTAAAAGCACATAAGAATCATGCGAACCTGCATAGTTCAGGCAACAAAACCTTCAGCCAAACTTCTGATATGCTGCCAACACTCGTAGTTAGTGATATGTCAAATTAACACTCGTCATATTCTCTTCAAGGCTGGCAAAAACGCAATTATAAGGTTGCAGCTGTCATTCTCCAAGAGAGAAATTTGATTCCAAAGCTAGTGTCAAGATTTTCCATGTTCAAGCTACTTGCATAATAGGTAACCAGGAAACTCAAAAGAAATTCATTAGGGAGAAACGCTGTAGTATCATGTAAAATGGTCATCCAGTTGATGAGATGGCACGATTGCCTTTCTTCGCTAATTATCCCCCCCCCCCCAAAAAAAAAATCATATCATGCACACCAGGGCAATAGGAACAAAAACTAATGCAAATTTAATATGCCTGAAATATTAAAACCACCACTCACGATTGCCTTTCTTCGCTAATTAAAACCCCCGCAAAAAAAAAATCAAATCATGCACACCAGGGCAATAGGAACACAAACTAATGCAAAATTTAATATGCCTGAAAAATTAAAACCACCACTCATCCACGGCTATACAATGCTACTCAATATCTTTTAGTTACAGAAGAAAGAATTTTAAGGCCTTTGAATCACACAGCACTGGAGGTACAAATTTAAGTGTGTCACAGTTTCAGCGATCAATTCTTTCAACTCAGGATGCTGGCCAACTGCTGCTTGACGCTCTGCTAGTGCAAGTGTTTGCAACACGTTTCCTTTTTCCAAATCCTCACTGTTCCTAGCATGCAATCCGATGTAGCAAAGGAGAATATAACCATGCAACAGGGACCGTTCGTTGCCCTGCACCAGCCTCGTTAAGGGCTGGGTGCCATTGAACTCAAGAATCGTTGCTGTATGCTCTGCACGAAGGAAATTTTCACGACAAGTAAACTTACCAAGAGCAATTGCAGCTTCTGTTGCTACATCTAGGTTCCAATGACCAAGCTGCTGGACCACCAGACCAATAACCCTCGTCTCCCTCGAAGGAAAAGTTCTGGCCAAGGAACCAATTGCCCTTAGCGCTGATATTTGCAAAGTTGAATTATCACACTCTTTAATAACCCTCAATAGCTGATCCACAACAGCTTTTGCAGCCAAAGAGTTGGTCTTAAAAGCTGTCCTCCTGAGATCAGCATCTGATTCAGCAGCAGCCGTAATCTCCATAATCGTCATCAAGGAATTATACAGCAATTCACCTTGTTCCTTCTCAACAAGCTTAGCCAGACAAAGCAACCCTTTAGTCTCCGTTATTTTCCTACTATTCAACACACTACCCTTAGAAAGCATCCACAATGCCTCAACACAACTAGTCTTCAACCTAAGCTTCACTTCCGGAGTTTCGTTCTCCCTGTCCTTCTTATGATGTCCACCCCTACTGCTCCCATTAGAGGATTGCATAGACAAAGATGATCCCAAGGCTGGCCTGTGCAACTGATTCTTCTCTCTTTCCTTATTAATCTCCACAATTGCGTGAAAACTCTGTTTCCCGACATTCAAACTTGCCTCCTCCATATAACCATCCATCAACAATAAAGTCACGAGTGGCTTAATCACATTCTCCCTGGCAAAATCCTCCTGGGCGAGCGGTGAACATCCTGCCATTCTAGCAACTAAATTAGCCAACTTAATTTGAACCCTCATAGGCGAATCCCCTAAAACCTGGACTATAACTGGGACGCCAAGCTCCTTGATAATCACGCAAACCCTGTCGTCGTCGTTAGCCAAATGTATAAGGGCCATGGCCGCAGCGATTTGAGCTTCAACAGAAGAATTCTCCTTCAACAATTTCAGCAACGGAGCAATCCCACCTTCTTCAACTATATATTTCTTGTTCCTATCGTTATCTTTAGCTAGTGAAGCTAGTTGATTGGCGGCTTCAATTTTATCATTAATTTGTCCCATATACAAAGAAGCAATTGCAGCCCAAACCCAGGAAATTATGGGATCATTACTAGCAATTGGAGGGAGAGAAAGAATAATACCCCCTCCGCCGTCAAAGATGTTAAGCAGCCATGTAATGTCAGCCATGGAACTCTCAAGCATAGATTGGAGTTTCTTGAAATCAGTGGCCGAGACAATGCTGACGAGCCGCCGGAAGACACCCCCGCGGTTGCATTTCCGCACGAGGGCTAGCGTTTTCTCGAATTGCTTTGCGACCTCCTCCATGACTCTTCTGATGGGCCGTTCGTAAAGTTTACCTGGACCAGTTGAGGCATCGTTGCGGAGCTTGTCGTTGGGGAGCTTTCCAAGAATATCCACGACCAAACTGTATAGGGAATAACACTCGGATTTGAAAGAATTGGCTTCCATGACAGCCCGGTTAATCCGCTCCTTTAAGAATATTATGTAGGACAATAACTCCTGGATACTCTGCTCCTTTTCATCATCAAGGGTTTTTACTGGTGCTGGTAGCGGTGGTGGTGGCGGTGGTTTTACGATTTTACTCGCCATGGGGAGATGAATAAATTGGTGGGGCTGGTGATTTTGTGATTGAGAAGGCGGAGTAATTTGGTTGTTGTTGCTGTTGGGCGGCGGCGGCGGCGGCGGGGGGTAGTGGTGGTGGCGGTGAAAGGTCATGGGTTGGGTTGACGAGTCATATGTGAGTCAAACGTTGTTAAAAGCGTTGTAGAGTAGAATTAGACGGTTAGACTGAGGTTTCAGCAGTGGGAAGGAATGGACCGATAAAACATAAAACAGCCAGAAAAGAAAGCAAGGCAGGAGTAGTTTTGTCATTATGGGATGAGGTCAATTAATGTTGTTGGGCGTTTTGTGATTGGCTGGGAAGGGATGACAAATTTACGTTTTCTTTCCGTCATTCTTCCATGTGCTTTCCTTCTGCTTCTGGCGGGATGGAACGGAATGTTGGTGTGATTTTCTGGGAAATTGTGGGTTTGGAGAATGGTGCAACCGTCGCGGTAGGGGGCTTTGGATTTTGGTTTGTGTGTGTGTGTTTTTTTTAATTATTCATTTCTTAGGGAGTTGGTTAGGTAGGGGATCAGGATTGCAAGCTTGGTTGTTCATTTGGTTTACTGGTTGATTATAAAATGCCCCCACGTATTATCATTGTGTTGCAATGTGCCACAAAATATTTACCCATTCTAGCTGTTTGCTACGTTACGTGGTCACTTGGTGGATATATTATAGGACTCAATTTATTGTGCTTTGATTGATGCGTTAGCGTTACCATGACATTATACGTTCAGCTCTGCTCTTATGCCTATTTAACCCCTGCTAAAAAGGTGCATTTAGGAATTCAAAACTAATTGTGTAAAATCAATTTTGCTTTCACCAGAATAGAATGCATGTCACTGGCGATGATAGTTGGGAGAGAAGAAATAACCTTTTTTTTTTTTTTGAAATTTGGTTAGTTTGTTAGAGGTTAAGATTGCCACGTAGTTCCTTCCAAGCCAATTTTGAATTGATTTAAGTAACGTGTCATGAACTAATTACATAAATAGAGGAGCCATTGGTGTTGTGATTAAGGTTAAAATTCTTGAAATTAGAGGTCTTAGGTTTAATCCATCCTTTCCTCCTCTCCGCTTCTTAAATTCCCACCACACCTGCTTTAAAAAGAAAAAAAAAAAGTAACAATAGTTGCACAAGGCAGTGAACCGCTATAATTGATAAATTAGGGGGTTAAACTGCAAATTAGTTACCGTTTGGGGAGACGGTTTTGCAATTGACCGTAGTTTTATTAGTTTGCAATTTAATGCGACCGTTATTTTAATTACGTGACGTGGTGAGCATGTACGTGTACGAGTTAGTATGTTAATTGACCACATGGGATCCTTAAATTTTTTTTTAAAAAATCATGGCTTCAATTGGGAAGGTCTTCTTTGGGTACCACTTATTTAGCATAAAATTTCAAAATTGTTAAGATCAAAATTTGTTTCTTGTCTTTTAGACTATGTCGATCTTTCTTTCTTTTTTTTTATCCTATATGACATTTATACCTATCCAAGTTACCTGGATGGCTACATTTTTTTTTTTTTTTTTGTAATAAAAGGGATTGTATATTGAAAAAACTTTTATATGTACAAAACAAGAAAAGCAAATTCTCTTAATATCTGTATCTACTAG